GGGAGGTGAAAGATAGTTTTCAGGTACCTAAGACATAGTTCCTTTTGAGAGAAAAGAAAAAACCTGCTGCCCAATACAAGACACACTGCCCTCTACGACCCTTCTGTTACACATCAGCCTCTTACTTGTGTTTGTAGCCCATGGGAGAACCTAGGGTTGCAGAAACATTAAATATTGCGGTGCAAGGATTAGGGTTTGTATTAAAACAGTATGGCAGAACACCAATGTTATGCCACTTTAATGAATGGAGAACACAGAAGTGCTATAAATTTAAGCAACTGTTCTAATTTAATGACAATAGAAGTGAACGTAGCTTTAAAAGCATGAACTATTTGGCACCACTTCCATATCAAATAACAAGATCATATGAATGTCAATATTCAATCTCCAATGATACGGACACATTAATTTTTAAAATCAGGCAATACCCTTGTCAGACAATTCTGGACCTCTGCCTCGACTTCTGCCAGTTCTGTCACTTCTGCTCTCATTTCTGGAGTCACTTCTGGAGTCATTCCTTGTTTCAGCACGAGAGCTCTCCTCTCTGCCATGGGATCTTCCATAGCTGCGTGAATCATCCTGGTACTGGTCGTCCTTCTTATGGGTATCGCGACTCTCTCTGTCTCTGTAGTCATGGGAATCCCGTGTGGAACGTGAGTCTCTCTGGTCACGACTGTCTTTGGTATCTCTGCTATAATCCCTCGTATCTCTGGAGTCTCGAGTGTCTCTGGATTCCCTTGGCTCCCTCCGATCTCTGTTGTCTCTTGTCTCTCTCCGATCTCTTCCATCACGAGATTCTCTGTCATCTCTATGATCCCTGGAGGTACTCTGCTCCTGGTCATAGTCACGATCATCTCTTGTTTCTCTTTCTTTTTCCCTTTTCCCTCTAGTTTCTGTAAAAAGTTTAAAAGAATGTTATATACCTAGCTTACTCAGAGCAAGCAAAAAATCAGAAGACAACATTAAAATAATACAGTCAAAATATACTTCTGACATACACACAGAAAATCAAAATTAATGTGTAAGTAGGAGAAGAACACTTTGGGTATCTGCCTACACATTCACAGAATTCACAGAATTG